TAGGTTAGGTTAGGTTATCGGGTTTTGTTCAAGTGACCACCCTCTTTCGATCCCCCACCTCCACCCGCTTGAAAATAATTATTTTATTGAATTTTATTTGAATTATAGTGTATGGAAATTGTCAAAATAATCAACTTTCAACCCCCATAACTTTTTATGGGGGTGAGACCCCCGCAAATTTTTTATAGAGTTTTACTCAGGTGACCACACTCTTTCGATCCCCCCCACCCCTACCCCCTTCGGGGGGGCATCATCTAGACCTTTACTAAAATAAAATTCATGATCCTGCGATTAGAAGCAAATTTAGAAAACTGATATGAAAAGTGCACGTGGCTAGTAAATGTAAGAAAGCTGATATTTGCGCAAACATATTTTGTATTGTTAGGACGATTACAAATGAAAGCCAAAATACGTCAAATTAACGTGACGCAAAAGCATTTTTTTATGTTTGAAGAACTTGGCCTTTAACATTACCGTTTAAACATTTTAAAAACGCAAATGTGAAATAGTTGTCTTTATTCGAAAATCGAAAAATACAATTACTTTTGTAAAAATAGTACCTACATATGTATGTATTTACGTACATACACAACCTACAATTACCTCCTCTGCTTCTGTTCATATGCAAACAAACACATTTAAGGACATTGTCGTTAGCATATCAGTACCAAACATCTTTATAAACAGTCATCATTAAAAGAATTGACAAAAACGAAAAGATAAGAAGCATTTAACGAACCAACGAATAAGTACCACAACAGTTACTAATCGATGTAATAATTATTAATTTCTACGTACATTTAATTTCTTTATACCATATATTCCAATCAGAAAGCAATAAAAATGGATCACCAATTTACACATGATATTTTTAAAAAGTGTCGTTTAATATGATAAAGAATCATTTTTAATATTTATTTGAACATCACGAGACCTAATACATGAATATATTTATGAATTCAAGCGTATTCTATTTAAAAAAATATTTGTTCAATTAGATTTATATAGTCAAGGTTGCTCAAATATAAAAAGTAATATGTTTCGATTTACAAAAATGTATACCTACCTATATACATTGTTCAATATCCAGATACAGGCAGTGTATCGCCATCTAGGGTGTATTTGCAGCTATTGAACTAAGTTTTTCAAGCGTTAGACAAAGCTTTATGGTTTTTCAGCTTGTCTAGCTACGTGATGCTTAGGTACAACACGTAAACCATATGAATATAGTTAGACAAGTTAAAATACCTTTAATAATACCTTATTTGACGTTTGAAATACTCTAATAGCAGTGCAGTGAATACCCATTAGATGGCGATACTTCTGTATTTGGATATTACATCAAGTAGTTCTTTAGGAGAGCTACTTCAGTTTGGTGAAAAAATGGAAACTGCCTTGTGGTGCTCTAATAAGATCGAATTAACTTAACTGAAAAATTAGCTCTTTGTTATTAACTCAATATCTACATTCGTGTGATTTGTGAAAATTTGAATAAAAATTTTCTTATTGTAATTTTACAACTAAATATAGATACAACTTCAAGCTGACACATGATTGTATACGTAATTAATAAATGTATTGTCTTTTAACGTTTAAATTTTACTACATATGCATAGTAGGTACCTAACTGAATAATTTGCATATTAACAACTACTATGTGTGTAAATCACTTTACATTGTAACAGAACTATTGATTAGTTATTGATCATTTGATCTCGCGCCTTCTGATCCACCTAATGCAATCGTATAGGAATTTTTATTATTGGCATCTTGGGTCGACACTTGTTACCGGGTGTAAAGTAACGGGTACTTTTTTTAAAGCACCCAGTATTCTAAATACCCGAAAGAACGAACACTAAATTGATATCATTAGCTGTTATCGCTCGTTCCGGCCTTGAGAAACAAAAGCGTCTAAAATGACGTCTTCTCCCTTCGCCGCAACGCCAAACGTTTCTATGACGTCAAAGCGCCAAGGTCCAGCAGGCGTTGGTTGGCGTCTGAACGTTTTATCTAATAAATAATTGTTATACGTACGTTTGTATATGTGTATTTAACTTCTATATACATATACATACGTATGTATTCGTTCGTATGCTACACCGACTTAACACACATTCTCACAACACGACGTCTGCCCGTGCTAAAACGACGTCGACGTCGACGAGCGTCTGATCGTGAGATACAATTTTCACGACAATGGCTGTGAGTGAAGATTTAACTTTAATGCTGTCAAAATTCCTAAATCTTCAGAAAATGGAAAAACGGAAGGAACTAGAAATTAGGTCGGTTTACATTTTCTAAACCTAACCAGAAATAACAATAACAAACACCTACATACATGACTATTTTATACAAATTAATTATTACATCAACTAATCGATAAGTTTATTGTGTCTGAATTGTATCAGCCGCTTCGATATGCTTTTAACAGATAACATCCCCATTATGTGATTCATCTTTCAGTTATCAAAGCTATAAGGTGACATAAACATAACACTGCGGAAATTGTATCGAATATGATTTATTAAATATTTATTGACACAATTTTTTTTTCCAAATGCGGTTTTTGTCCATAAGAATATTTTCCTTTTTTTGTCGCAATTCTTTCGTTTATGCTTACTTCTTTTCTGTTTTATGAACTTCGTATATTTTTAACTATTTCTCTTCTAATCATTTTTGTCGCTGTGTTTATTTTTTATCGTCCAAATAATTCTCACATTGTCGCCTCCCGCACTTGAGAAGTCCCAATGTTTACCACTTTTGTCTGATTTCCAAGTCTGAATATGCCTTTTTCTGGTATTACTGTTTGTTCCATTGAAAATCTTGCTGTGGACTGTTCTGATCTTATTTTGTTATACACTTTTACTCATCTTAATTATCTAATTTTTTTCTGTGTTTCTATTTCTTCAGTTATTAATCTTGCTAATACCTGTACGTTTTGTTTGCGTCTTATCTATCAGCTTCTTTTCCTTTCGCCTTCTTATCTCCGCACCATATATTACGACGCTTTCCAGCAATGTTCCAAAAAGAAGGATTTTCCCCCTATTTTCTCCATGTACTTCCAAATGTCTGCAGAATCGCATATACATATTTATACGTATAGAGCCAGTCGTAAAACAATACAAAAGAAGTTGGGTGTTCCAGAAGCCATCTACATTAAAACTACGAAAATCTTTTACGTATAAAATTCTTAGCAACTTGTCCAACCTGCACACACACATTAATCGTCAAACCTGTATGAAGATGAACAACGAAAAAAACAAAATGTGTGCTGGGACACATTTCGTTTTCACAGGTTTATTGCAAATTATGATTTCGTTTTTATACAGACCGCAAATAGAGGCAATGATGCCCAGCCACGTGGAGAGCAGGGGTAAGAAAACAACAGCTGAGCACAGCATACGCAGCCGGGACTCTGGCGGACTCCCCACTCTCCGCGCGGCTGCGCATTATATCCATATACATCAACAGCCGTTGCGCTCTCTCCACGCGGCCGTAACGCTTTTTAGTGACAGAAAAAATCGTAATAACCCGCGTCTACAAAGAAGTTTCACTTAAAAAAGTACCGCTAATAGGTATAGAGATACAAATCAACCACGTCCTTCATAAAATTTGTTCGCTTTCTAGAAACGATATGTGGGTGATGTATTTGCTCCATCAGTCAAAATCGAGTTCTCATGTGGGCCATATCAGATTAGTTTCAAAATTAAAACCATAGCCAATTGGTATACGGTAAACTCTTAAGTTTAACATACTGTTGTTGCAAAAAGTACCATACACCCACCTATATTTAGATGTAAATCTCAAAATTCTTCACTAGTAGCAATGCTCATGTTGGTAGCTTATACATATGTATTCATAGGTATAACACGGAAGTCCAAATATATATATTAACAATAAATATCTACCACCTATATACTCAACTATCACTTACCGAAAATTTCCCCTTGGCTGGCATATTCAGACACGAGGTAGATCATGTTCTTCGTTTCCATTACCTGGAAAACGAAATGTTTAGTACTTTTACAAGAACCACTTACCTACTAGGTGAATAGGTTTATTTTATTAAATTCTTGAACACAGAGTGTTTTACCACATATTTAATTTCTTACAATAAAATGGACAGAATATTGTGTTGTCTGTTCTCTCAAAGTGAATTTTCCGTAAAATGGAATAAAATCAATTCCACTGGTACAGAAATTACATCCGACATACATAAAATAATTTAATAATATAATAGAATAATAAATAAAATAAGTCTAGGTTACGGTAGGTCAGGTTATGACAGGTTATGGAAAAATTCCATATTAATTTATTTCGAAAATGACGAGGGTAACTAATTTTTGAATATATTTATATAATATATAACTAGTACACCAGCACAATTCAGAACAGCTCTTCATTTTTATTTTTCTAGAAATAGTTAAGTTAACGAATGTCGTCTTCCACTCTTTTTGTTTCAAATCACGTGTCCGCCCTTCGGAATTCAATTAATAAATCAACCCAGTTTGATTTCGATGACATGTAATAAAAATAGACAGATACTTTCAACCTCCCTATCTGCCCCTTGTTCTAAGGGCAGCTGTTCCAAAATGATGTTCCGCGGAACCCTGGTGTTCCGCGAGACATTACGTTTCTTGTCCTGGTAAAAATATACAAAATTCCACGAAAAATAACAATCATTCTGCATTTAAGCGTAACAACAGCTCATTTTACACGACAGAACAACATCTTATGAAAGGCCGAAACCTTTTTCATTTATGATAGGGACGAGGACTGCTATTTTTAAAAGAAATATACCTAGATACAGTTGTTCATTGATTCACTCCTGTTTCCTGGGTTATTTTGTTCCTTACAGTGAAGAACCACAACTACGTCTACAGTGAGAGACAAAATATCTCTAACAATAAAAATAAATTTGCCTTCTCGATAACATGTGTTAAACAAAAAAGTTACGAATCCTCTTCCAAACGATTTCTCGAAGAAAATGAATTACAAATAACCTTCGATATGGATAAAACCGTCAATGAACATCTACTGAACCTCAAAAATCCTTGGAGGAATATTTTCCAGAAGAGTTACAGGACAGCCACTGATTGTGAGTACAGGATCCTTTCGTAAATCAGACTATTATGAGTAAAGATGTGCACACTAAAAACATACGTGCAATAACGATTTTAAATTCAAAATTCAAGTTGAAGATTACAACAATGTACACAATAAGGTGCCACGAGTCTTAGACATAAAACTATCATCAGTTTTTTTTTTTATTGAGATGGCAAAAAAAATGGGAACCGCTGTCTTAGGGGACTGGGGGGGCTGTTTGCCTTCTTACATACGTAACTCTCCCTTATTATCCGCGTATATCATGAACTATCGCGAGGAAATGCGAAGATTTGCTGAAGATAGGACAGAGTGAAGGTGTGTGTTCGACTAGTCCTCTGATTGACGACCTTGTGATGATGATGATTTCATTGGTGCTTGTAAATCAGTAAATTCACGATGTGTTGACGTAAGACAGTTAATCAAATTAGTAGGTAACCCATTAGTTTATCTAACCAATGTATAATATAAAACAGACAATATCAACACGGGTTTTGCACACGGGATTAAGTTAAACACAAATTTATGATTTGCGTCTGCAGTGAGAGTTCTTTATTTAGATTTTCAGTAATAAATAAGACGTAACTTCCCTTAACTGCACGATATAAAAATACATTGTGCGTAACTAAATCGACAACATTCTACAGTGACTTACGTTATTTCCAAGATCTCACACGTGAATAAGCAAAAGCCGATCGAACTCTATTTATTGTCGGTTTTATATAAAATTAGCCAAAACCCAATTTGAATTCGGGCTAAAAATATATTTTAATTCACTAAAATAGACCGGACATTGTTTATTACGGTAATATCGGATGAGAACTTATTAAGTAGATGGAAATGCCAATTTTAAGAAGAAATTTTTGATCTTTGACGTAAGAATAATTTAATGTTTAGGTAGGTACATAAACAAATTTCGAAAATAGATATATTTAAGTTACCATGCACATTGCACAGCGTGATGGAAAATTAAGCTCCCAGGCTACTACTACCACGACACCAACACCAATAATAAAACGCATAAATGCTTGTAAAGGATGCCTCAAAATTAACGCAATGTTTTCTTTAAATTGTTACTGTTTTATTGAATCGTAAAGTAAAGTACAGAACAGGATTATGTATAGAATAATACACAGGACTAACAGCCTCCACAGTTTTGCTGTCGAAATTTTCGATGACCATTTTGCATAAATGTGGATGAACTTCGTTGATGTATCGTTGAATTTTCTTCTTGTTTGCTTAGACCTTTGAATTCAAATAACCATATAAAAAGAAATCCAATGGTGTTAAGTCACAAAATCTGAGGGGAAAAGGGCAATTCTTATCGCCGACACGAGAGAGTACACGGCCAATAATGTCTCATGCAGTAATTCAATTGTCTTAAGGGTTGTATAGCATGTGGTATCGTCTTCTTGAAACCACATATTGTTAACATCAGTGTCATTCAATGTAGGCAGAAAGAACTTTGTTGTCATCTCCCGATATCGAGCACCAGTAAGTACCAATCACCGCTTGGCCAGCTTCAATTTCGAAAAAGTATGGCCCAATGACATCTTCAGTGCAAAATCGGTACGAAACAGTGGCACATTAAGGATTTATTTGTTTTTAGACAATCACAAATGGGTTTTCTGAACCCCAATTGCTGCAATTTTGACAATTAATAAAGCCAACATCAGGTCATCAGTCCTACGACTGGTTGGACAAACACCTCCACACTTTCCTATCTTGAGCTAATTTTCGCTTTTCCCTAAAACTAGAACATCCCACATCCTTAACTATTTTCAAACAGTAACCTAATCTAGATCTACCTCTACTCTTTTTAACTCCTGTTTCTGCCTCTAATATGTCTCTGACTAGACCTTCATGCCTGAGAACCAACCTATCTCGCCTATTTTTTATTGACTTCCACAGAGTCCTTTGTTCCCCTATTCTTTCTAATATCTCCTCATTTCTAACCTTCTCTATTCACGATATCCCCATCATTCGCCTGTAATACCACATTTCGAACGTGTACAACCTTTTCTTTTCCGCCGCGTCCACCATTTATCATTCGCAAGCATAGAAGTGACTTCTTTTTATTGAAAAAGACTCAACCCTGCGCTATCCTATACTTTATATTCCTATTACTCCTTCAATCCTGACTTATCTGACTTCCTAGATACATATAATCAACTACTTCTTCTAATCTTTCGTCTCATACTTTTACATTCGCTCTTTTCCTACTTTTTTTCCCTCGCATACCAGTATTTGTCAATACCGCTTCCATTTTATTTGAAGCTCTCTCTAACTTCTCCTTGCTAGATGCTAGATGCTAATACTTTTGCCCTTCTATATCTATCCCTACAGCTGCACTGTCTTTAATAAAGTCATCAAGGTGAAAATGATTTTGTTCGAAAAATCGGCATCCACATATTGATGATCCTAATTACGCACTGTTCCGACATTGACAATTATCAATGGACCCAGTCTACCTGAATTTTTCAATTATTACTCTCTTCACGGTCGAAGAAATCGTATTACTACTCCGACCATATTTTGTACGAAATTTTCAAACTGAGGCCGCCATACTTTCATTATTTTTGAAATATTCTTGTTCAATAATGAAAATAGGTTGATTTTTTATCGTGTAACACTCCATTTTTACTAGCCATATAACTATCAGCTGTCAAATGACTTTTTTATGGGGTTGCACGAATGGCGGCAAATTCTTCCATTAATTTCGAGACATCCTTTGTAATAGGTCGAAATTTATTCAATAAATTCTTTAAAGCAAATAAAGAACAGCACAGGGTTGTGTCGCATTTAACAAAAAAGAAATCACTTCTGTGTTCGAGGTCGGTTATTAATGGTGCATGGTTCTGTACGGGTGTGAATGGACGGTGAGCACTGCGGAAAAGAAAGGTAAAGGGTTAGAAACGTTTGAATTGTAGTGCTATAGAAGGATGTTGAAAATATCATGGATAGAAAAGGTTATAAAAACGGAGGTATTATGAACCTTCTAAAACATGTAGGGCTGGTAAGAAACATATTAGAAGCACAAACAGGCGTTAAGGGGGGTAGAGATCGACCTAAAGATGTAGGTTGCTCAAGTTTTCAAGAAATACGAAGATTAACTCAAAATAGGAAGAATAGGAGGTGCGTGTCCAAGTACCCTTCGGGCTGCATACCTTATCAGAGGTCTCAACACGCAGCAATTTTGGTAGAATAAAAAATATGTAACAGTTATTTTTAGTAATCACAAATTATGCTAGAAGACAATAGATGAAGTGAGTCACATTTTCTGCAATACAGGCTTCAAAAGTGTCTACTTAAAATAAAAGCTGTTTCATTTTAAGTATTCGGAAGGTGCAAGAAGCAGTGCGAATAGAGAAAAGAAGAGAACCTCAAGAACAGTAAACTTATGTACTTCCGTATTTAACCAACTTTTATGGTGAACTGAATAATAATGAGGGAAAAGGCTGCCTCAAATGAGCTTTTAGGTTTTCTACTTTACTTCCGCCTAAAATATTTGTTAAACCGCGTGAATATTCATCATCTTTTAACTTAATGACCTTGAACTTTTGGTAATCTCTAGCTCCCAGAACAGCAAAAAGTCCAAATTATGGCAGGAATTCATGAAAAACATACATAAAGGTATCATCTGTTCCTCAATATATCAATATGCTGAATATACTCTTCTAGTACTAACTGGAATATAGTCGCAACTGATCTCTACATAACAATAAAAAGAATTGCAACTTGGCTGACAGCTAATAAATTACACCTGAACCTTAATAAAACGGTTTACATGATCTTTGCTAATCACAAACATTCACTTCCGAAAAATCTGGACATCCGAGTTGAAGGGGGCAAATATCTAGAACGGAATTAACCACCTACTTAGGACTCAAGATAG